ACACAACATCAAACGCAGCCACAACCACCACAGCAATTGCAACTGCAACATCTAACCCAACAACATAATCACAACATAATTGGTGGCAACACGAACATATCGTCCACAGCATACGATTATCAGCTGTCGAGTGCGAATTATAGGTTGTGAGTAGTAGAGAATTGTTTTGATGTTTTGTTTTCATTTTCCACTTTTGTTTTGCTTTTGTTATTCGTTCGTATTATTTTGGTTTAATCATTCATAAGTTTTTTCAGGGACTTGTTCTGGGGTAGAGTTGTATTTTTTGGTAGTTGAAGAATGATGGGGGAAGATGTGTGGAAAATAAAATGGACAAAAATTGAATTTATACCATCAATCGTGATTTTTTGAAAAATATTTTTTTTTATTTTTTTTTCAAGCCTGAGGCGCGGATTTTTTAAAATAATTTTTCAATTTTCGAGCTTGCAATCGGCGTGGTTTTTTTAATAATATATTTTAAAAATATTTTTTCAAGTAATACCAAAGGCGGGGATTTGCAAAGATACGAAAAATTACGTTTGTAGTACCTCGCATCAGATACTTCTCGAACATTTCCAACCTTTTAGCCGCTGTCCGTTATTGGGGTCTCGATACATTCCCCATGGTCGGACATCGTCGCAGATTGCCTCTGAAGTTTATTGTCGGCAAGTGCAGACAAATCACCTGTTGGAGTCAGACTTGAAGTCGGTCGGTCAACAAGGTCTACGCTTCCTTCGTTTAGGCCACAAAAATCCCCCTGTGTAGACTTGGCCAGGATCACCGTTGTGTCCAGCTCACCATCAGTCAGGGTGAGATTTAGTACCAGTTCCTCCGGAAGCGTATCCCCACATTGCTCTTCCGGTACAAGTCTGTCTAACTAGTCGACGAATAACCTACTCTGCTCCTATAACCTATCGCGGATAGCGTCCCGAGTAGGTCGTTCCTTACCAGAACTACAGTCCTGTCAGTCAGAGACTTATTTCCCTCAGTCTTGACTTGCTCGTTTGCCAATAAAATGCCCGCTTCGACTACGTTATTCGGGTTTGAAATTGATGCGCTTGTAACAGATAAAGCTGCAGGTGCCAAGGCATCCACACCTAGAACAGCCGGATCGCAATCGCTTGATCTTGATTGCCGCTGGTACTGGGTTATTAACTCCCTGTACCGTAACTTTAAACCTTTTGCTCTTTTTTCCATCGTAGTTTATTAATTCAATGGCACTACCCACATCCTTTTTGGTCCGAAATGCGGTTTCCATGAAGTACAGAGAAAAGTTGACCTAGGTCAGTTTAACCATGCACATCATGGAGACCCCCTTCCCATCCGACACCCGGGAAGACGATTCTAGTTGTAGTCATGAATTTTTAAAAATCAATCCTAATGAGCAATTGTCACAAATTTTAGTTAAAAAATTCGCGTTAGTTAGTTAGCTATAACAACTAAATTAAAAACCTTTATTTAAAAAATAAATAATATTATTTTTAAATAAATTTTAATTATATTAAAAAAGTTCCGGCATTATCAGGTTTTAAAGGATTGTTACTGTCCAATATATTAGATAATAATTTTGCTTTCATCAGTTTTAAACACATTTTAACTATTTAAATTCACTTTTAATAATTATTTTTTAATATTTCTCTTAATTTATATTTTAAAAATTATCCAAATTTGCCTCCATAATCAACTCTGTCAACAATACCATTCAAATACAACACTTTACTCTCTCTTTCTCTCCCTTTTGTTTTCTTGTTCTCGCTCTCTCCCATGCCAATCCTCCCATCTTTGATTCTGACGGATGGAATTCGAGCTGTTTTGTTTAGCATTCTGTGATTTTTTGATTTGTTTGCATAAATTTTATTGAATTGTAAACGTAATTATTTTCGAAATTATTTCGCGTCTAATTTGGATTTTTAAAGCGGATCCTGAAGAAGTGAAACAAAATGCGTAAAAAGAATAATCGCAAAACAAACGACAATATTGTGGAGTAAGTTGTTAGTGTAGTGCAACAGTTGATGAAAGAACGCCGAAACATTTATGGTATTGTTATCTTTGAAACATAATTTCTCGGAATTTGAATTTCAGCAAACAACACCTCCGTAGGGTACATAGAGGTCCATTGTTTTGGTTATTCCAAAAATATTCATGCTTTGGATGTAGGTTGGCTTCGAGTGAAACTTCAAAGTTTGTGTTGTGTCCTCTTAAGAGATGTCTAAAGGTACAAACGAAGTTTTATATCAGAAGAATAGCATTCACACAGATTCAGAAGCCCAGGCAGTAGATCAGTAAAGTAATAATACTTTAATCAGATACCACAGAGGATAAACAGCTGCCTTGATAGACTCGAGTTGTATTAACACAGCTAAGACATGGCTGGTGCAATCGGTTTTAATTCCTACTGTGCACGAATTGGTGGCACGATACATAACACATACTTAGCATGTGGACCACACGAAATGTTGCACCCTTTCAACTGACCAGCTATATCTACTCCCTTTCGTATTTGACCAACTAAAATGCGATTCTGAATTTAAAATATCGCGCATCACACCACCATTGAAATGTTGGAGATTTTTAACAAATTTTTCTAAACCTAAGAGGGAGTAGTCGCACAACCTTACAATGGAAGACGTGTCGTAAATGAATTCATTCGAATACCTTTTATTTTGATGTTGATAGTTCCTACATATGCATTTCCGAATTACACCCCTTTCAAAAATTTCCAATTCTTTCATTACGGATGGAGATATGGTAAACCAAATTGGATAGGCCTAATACTTACTTTAAACAGAAGTAATTTCGTTTTAATACTTAGATATTTGTTGTTAAATAATGTTGAAAAAGCTCCTTTCATCTTATTTGCTTTCTTCAAATTATTCCGGGCATGAGAATTAAACTTTAATAATTTGTTAAAATGGGTATCATTTTAAAACGTTTTAAGTTCTAATTATAAACATGTTATTTTCTTATCGTGGAAGATATCGGTATCCAAAGACGCTATATGAATTCTTAAATAAATAAAAAACCATACTGAGGGTGAGGGTGGCCGGCCATCGGCTGCGCAATTATGACTTTCTCCTATGGATATATTTTGTTTCAAACGCCGGTTGTCAAGTCGAAATGTTGACAAATCAAAATACCGCTTCATTTCATACACACTCGAGGCACTCACCGGCGCCACATACCTAGACAACAGGGACGTACGCAGGGATTGAGTTGTTTTCATTTTGATTACATTTTTTTTAATTTTTCTAAAATTGAAAAAAAATGTGTTTTTTGTAAAGTGCGGAAAGGGCAATCACCAAGTCCCAAAATTATTTCTGTCGCACCCTGTTACAAATTGGATTGATCCTTCTGAGTGCTTTACCGCCCACAAAAAAAGGAATACCACAAATATGCGATAACGAGGACTCAGGACTTTATATCGAGACATAAAGATGTTTCGAAACGTATAAAACATGTTGCGGACAAACGTCATATATTAGGTTGGAAAAAAATAAATCCATTATTTGTATATGAACTATAGGACCTTATTTAACATGCTTCGGAATGTCCGATTTCGTTCCGATTTTAAAGGTAACTTCATAATGCCTATATATATTTTTTTTTATCATTAAAGAAATTTTGCAATGCAAGAAAAATATGATAATCGCTTGGTGCCAAGTCCGGACTGTATGGCGGAAGCTTTAAAACTTCCCCACCAAGCTCTCCCACCGCTCTTTGACCATGATCGTTTACGCACAGGGTTATTGGTACCAAATTGTCTGTAAATTGGTCTATTTACTAAAAACTATGAATATTGACTTAATTTTTAGGTAAGGCCTCATATAACGTCATCTCAATATACTGCATTTTAAATATATGGTGACGTTTCCAACGGAAAAAAAATATTTTAGCTTTTCACTCAGTAAATACAGGAATTTTCTTCATAAAAAATGTAATAAAATTATTTTTTAACTTTTAATAATTCCCGTTTTTTTATTTCTAGTTCCCACAATAATTTAAACCAATCGGCGGATGCCACTGGTGATGCTATGCCAAACGTTAGTTACAATTCAGCTGATGATGCACCAACAGTTTATGTTTCGGATGCCTCCACTGTGGACATTGACGAAAATGAAAATTTGTAAGTAAAATTCAACGAATTTCAAGTACGTTTATTTACAAAAACTATGTATTTGTTTTGTACATTATAGATCTGATGAAAAATTTTCATACTTGGAAAATTTAAATGTAAGTAAAAATATACATCATATCGACGCCTTCGAAGAATAGTATGCTAAGTCTGAAAAGTGAGTTTTTCAGTAGAAGCTCTCAAAGTATGGAAGTTTCTTATATCTTACGTGCAATGCTAAGTACATTTTTGCTTATAACTTTGGTTTGGATTGACCGATGATTACCAAAATTTCAGAGAATTTAGATTAAGGACCGTAGTATCTAAAAACGTAAAGAACTATAAAACATGCTAAGTCGACTTAGCATACTATGGTTCGGAGGCGTCGATATACAAACTAGTTTTCTAATCGTATTTAATGTGTTCATTGCAGTCGGGAAATTTAATGAAATTCAGTCAGGTGAGTGCATATTTGATTGATTTTAAAATAAAATATTAATTACAGAAAATAAAATATTAAATATTACCAGAACAGAAATATATAAAAATATTTTAGGATCATTAGCAGTATGTATATTCAATTTGAACGTTAATATTTTGTATTTAATATGACTTCTTCCATTTGACTTCTTTCCAAAAGATTTCCCATTATACATAGCGTTTTATTATTATGCTCCAGCAAATTTTGTTCATGTCGTTTAAAAACGCAAACGTAACTCAATAATGCTGCAAAATTTATAACACACACAAATATAATTAAGCCAAACGTCAAGATTTCACAATTTTCCAATGTCGAACGTTTCGTGCGATCCGATGTGGTTTCTGAATTTTGAGACTGCGATTCAATATCCATAATACTTTTCAATGTATTCAATTTTACTTATTTACAATTTCAATACAATTATTTCAATGAAAACCGTAATGTCAAATCACTTTGTATGAGAATTAAAAGGAAACTTGTCACAGCCGATAGAACCTGTAATTTACAAGTACAGTATTTAATACTGTGCAAAATTGTAGAACTGTTATTGATTTCGGGTACTTACATCATGCAGCAGTCCAACATTAATCTCCAGCATTCCCATTGGTTGGATTTTGAAATTTTCCACAAAAATTTGTAGCGAAAATCTCTCAACCGATTGGCGAAAACGTATATCACAATTATTCAGCTGTATGCGTTTTAGAATTATTGAGGTTTCTTGGACCTAAGAAAAAATCAAATAATTAACGATTGTTCAAGAAAGGCGTGGATTTTTTAAAAATATTTTTCAAGCTAACAATCTTGCGTGGATTTCTTTAAAATATTTTTTCATATTTATATTATATTTAAACTTACCATTTCCAAACAATCATTAGCCATACTTCCATACAATGCAATATCAGCTATGGCTATTGCCAAAAATACCCCATTTGTCATGGCATCAAAGAGATCGTAACTTTCCTTATTAATCAGCGTATCGGCCAAGGCATTATATTGTTGAAACAATCCGCCAGTTATGGCAAAAAGATTACACAACAACGCTGCCAATATTGCCACAGAATTGATCTCAACATATTTTAAAATATTTTTACAAATTATCGAATATTTTTCCGACAACTCATCCAATTTATCGGCCATATTACAAAATGCTTGCATACGATGAAATGGCTTATGTAATATCATCTGTTTTACATCCTGATAGAGATTTGCATCCTTTTCCACTTTTTCCAAGTAACTATTTAATGCCTGCATATAATGATAGCAGATGACGAGGGCACTGAAAACACAATTTGGCAAGAAATTCGATGCGACCAAGGGAAAGAGATTAATCACAGTATCTTTACGCCTTTGGCGTATTATTAAATTAATTTCAAGTATTATTGGAAACAATAGTGTTTTTACAACAATTTTAACAATAGAAGATTTCACCGCTCTTTGATTTAATTCAAAATAATCCATCAGTTCGAGTAATGGTACTTGACTAACAAACGTTTTTATTTCGTTCGATCGGACCAATTGTAAGATATAGGTTAATATAACAGCCACAATACCTATATAGTAATATAAGATTTCAGCATTTGCCAAATTTATTTTATCATCATTATAGGCAATATAGAGTTGTCGCAGAGATAATGTGGTCACGGCGACCGTCATTACAAAACACCACATCAATAATGGATAACTTATATAGAAACGTTTTTCACGACGCGAATATGCACAGTTCAACAAACCGAAAATATAGGCAATGACAAATAATAATTTGAGAACAAATACGAATTTAGTTTTATCCATTGTCCATGTAGCGTCCATAGGTCCTCGAAGACTAATAGAATTTTATTGGGGATACTACATTAATATAGCAAAATAATTTCGAATAGTTAATTGTTTATTAATTGCTGTGAAGTATATTTCAATTTGGGTTTCAATTAAATGTTCCTAATCTGCTGATAACAAAACAATGTAATTGAATATTAGTGGCATGTGATATGTCTCTCTATTATTTTAGAGTAGATTGTAAGCTTGAAAAAAATATATTTTTAAAAAATACACGCCTATAAAAAATCCACACCTATTACTCAGGCTTGAGAAAATGTATTTAAAAAATCAATGTTTTGAATCATTTATGTTTTATTAAATTAAAAATTTTGTATATTTTTTACTCACCCTTCCAATACAATCATTGACCGCCATATTTAGCAGGGCAATCTCCGAAAATGATATTGCCAAAAAGACACCATTTGTCATGGCATCGAACATATCGTAGGGCTCCTCATTTATCATGGTATCGGCAATGGCATAATATTGTTGGAAACAACCCGCCGTAATTCCAAAAAGATTACTCAGTAAAGAGAAGACTAATGGCATCGCAAGCAAATCCACATAGGCCAAGGTATAGGAACAAATCGCATTATATTTTTCACATAATTCATCCAATTTTTCCGATAAATCGCAGAAGATTTGCATTCGCTGAAAATTGCTTAGTATTTTCATTTGCTTTTTATCCTGATATAAATTCGCCTCCTTTTCTATAGTCAGCAAGCGGCTATTTAAAGCCTTCATACCCTCTCGACACAAAACAAATCCGGCAAATAAACAGTTGGGCAAAAAATTGGCAATAACCATGGGATATAAATTATAAAGTGTCCCCACCAGATTTGGCTCCTCTCCACCACCACCATGTAGCTCTCGAATTATCAAATTCACTTCCACAATTATTGGAAATAGAATAATTTTAATAAAAGTCAGCAGGGCCGACTTTTTAACCGACCGTGGATTTATATTAAAATAACACAGACAATCGAACACTGGCACTTGGTTATAGAATTCCAGTAGATCCTTTATTTTTAAAAATTGTGAAAAATAATTCACCATGGAACACACAATACTCAAGTAGTAGTAAATACTGACGGCATTTTTCAAATCCATTTGATCTGTTCGAAATTCTTCATAAAAACGTTTTCCAAACACATACAAACACACGGTGAATATTGTTAAGGACCAAACTATGAGCAATGGACTAATGTAGAATCTTTTGCGACGAAATGAATACATTAGATTCAGTAGACCTACTCCAATGAGCAGAGCGGTCATAAGGGTTAGAAAAAACTTTACAACTTTAACTTCATTCATCTTTTTTTTAAAACAAAAATATTTTAAAATTTTATTTTAGGAAACAAATTAAATGTAGTTGCTTTTAACTTCGAAACTGTTTTTGTTTTGTAAATATCCTGTATTGATTTCATGCGTTGCACGCATGTCCTTTTTGGTGCTGATTCCAACTGTTTATGTGCCATAATTGCGTTATAATTACCCAACATTTTACTATCAGTTGCTGATATCATCCAAAGATGATATCAATAATAAAAGTAAAGGGTGGAAATTGCTTCCAAAGTAATTCGAAGAGGAATCCACAATTGAATTTAGTAGAGACGAGTCACTGGAACTATACGCACGTTTTTTGCGTGATTTCTGTTTTGTCCTGTCAAGATTTTACAGAAGAGTGGATTTTTTAAAAATATTTTATTGCAAGGATTAAAATTTGTTAATAATATTTTTTCAAAGGCTAACAGAAGTGCGGGTTTTAAAGAATATTTTGTCAACGCCTATTAAAGGCGTCGATTTTTTAAAGAATATTTTTCAAACATCAACTAATTGCGAGGATTTTTTTATAAAATAAATGGTCCATTAAAGACAAAGAATATTTTGCATGGTCATTTAATGACCTTGATTTTTTAAGGATATTTTCCAGGCCTATTAATGGTCTGGTTCCTTTTGAGAATATGCATAGAATCACTTTCTGAGTCGATTTATGCATGTCCGTCCGTCTGTTGATGTAATATTGTTAACAAAGTACAGGTTGCATTAATCATCCGATTTGGATGAAATTTGGCACAACTTATTTATTTGGCCCAAGGACGAACCCTATTTGCACGAAATTTGTCATAAAGTTCTGAATTAGGCCTAGAATGAAGTACGAGAAGTTTCGTGAAAATCGGTTCAGATTTAAATATTGTTCTCATATATATTTTCGTCCGATTTATGGTAAATTGTGCGCCAAAGTCCCTAAATATTTTTCAATATGAATTAAATTTGGATTGATGTGTGTTAAGTTTCGTGGAAATCGGTTCATATTTACAAATAGCTCCCATATATATTTTCATCCGATTTAATATAAATGGTGTACCAAAGTCCCTATATACCTTTCGATTTGCACGAAATTTGGCGTAGCGTATTGAATTAAGTCTAGAATGATGTGTGTTAAGTTTCGTGAAAATCTGTTCATATTTAGATATAGCTCCCTATATATTTTCGTCCGATTTAAGGTAAATAGTACAACAAAGTCCCTATATACCTCTCGATTTGCACGAAATTTGGCATAGCGTACAGAATTGAGTCTAGAAAAACGTGAATTAAATTTCGTGAAAATCGGTTCAGATTTAAATATAGCCCCATATGTATTTTCGTCCGATTTAATGAAAATGGTGTACCAAAGACCCTATATATCTTGCGATTTGCACGGAATTTGCACTGTTAAAAATGTAATCTCAATCAGACACCCGTTCGAAATACATATGGAAGCTATAAACTAATAACGTCTCTCAAGTCTCAATTTTATACGTTGTGCAAAATTACGTGTTAATTACGTGTTTTGCTAGTGGCGGGCACGATAACTCAAAAACTAATAACCCAATCGATTCCAAATTTTTACACGTTTTTCTGTGAGTATATAGCTATCGCATGAACTACTAAGATAAAGCCAATCGGTGAAGATCTTCCTTATTTTTGAACTTGGTTTTTGGTAAAAAATCGGCGATTTTCGAAAAATATTTTTTCAAAGGTCCGCCATTTTGCTAATTTTAGAGCGAAGTCATTAATCCTAGTTCATACGAGAACCAGACATGTACTCTTTCTAACACCGTTGGAGTTTTCGGATTCCGATGTTCCAGTGAGGAGTTATCATGCCCGCAATCAAAAAATAAGGGCTTATCTTTAATTACAAAAAACAACAACAAAACAATAACAACAATTTTTTTGTAAATTATTTTTCTTCTCTTTTAAATCTTCAAATATATATGTACAAAGTTGCAAACCTTAACAAGCATTTGTATTGATTTACCAGCCCATTTAAATCTTGAAAATTAACCCTTTGAGCCCCGAATTTTTTCTGCAATCTTAGAACAAATTTCTGTCCACAGATTTAATGGAACTATCCTAAATAGGATATGCACTACATCCTTGCATTCGGGAGATACAGTACATTCTTTCGGAAAAATTAAAGACCAATATCAAGAATACCAAATGCAAAATCTGCTGAAAAATCATTTTAAATTATTCTCTATATTAATTTTTACAACAATCAAAAATAATTCTGATGGCAGAATTCATACAATTTGAATACGAAGCGATTTTAATGATTTGGACTGTATACACAAATTAGTACTGTACACAAATTTAGCCTCTTCTCTATATTGAAAAGCTCATAACATTACCAAAAATTTGAATTTGTAAGATTTTTCTTTTCATATATGTTGTCCATAATCAGGTCTTGACATATGAAATCCAAATTATTTATTTCTACTAGCTGCATATTAAATATAAATATATATTTGTTGCCTGTGGGCAACATTGGGCCACAAAGGGTTAAAATCGAGAATGGGGGGGTTCCCTTAAAACATCACCATTATTAGTTTGTTAGTCCTTCAAAATAATGTCTTTAATAGCTCCGAAGCCCCTGTTTAATACTTCATCAAATATTCCAAAAAAAATCGTACGAGATCGAACAAAAACAAAGTTATCCGGCAACACCGTGTGCAATCATCGAAATCACACATACCGTAAGTGTGTGTGTGTGTGTGTACCTTGTTTTGTCGGTACATGTTTCCATACACATGTTGCAATGTCAACCGACTCTAGTGGTTTGCAACAGGTTGCCATTTTGTATCGCAACATTCCAAATACAAATGTTTCGCAACAAACTTAGTCATCCTCACGACCGTTGAGATTCGAAGAAAATCACAAGACGGTTGTACAGTTGTCCTACTACTCAACAGCGAATGCAGGAAATTCCCGCATAACAACAGGTTGCTCAGCGTTCTGCTTCAGCTGTTTCGAACAAAAGCTCTACAACCGAATCGCAAAATAATGTTTAGCAACACTATTGTCAGTCATTCGTTGTCTCCATTGGGTGCAATGAATTGAATTGATTGGTTGGTGAGGAGACGGAGAAGATGACAAGCGGCTCCTCTTGAGGTTAGATTGTGTTCTTATATCACAAGCAAACTTAAGCATGCCAGTCTGGATACGAATGAATAAGCGTGACGTCACATTGCAAAAAGCAGAAAAAGACGTCGTCGTTATCGTAAACAACAACAACAACTACAAAAAAGTACTTTGCGACCGGTCTTTGTTTTTGTTTTGAATTGTGAAATATTTACACTTCTTATTCATGTGGCAAGACAGACACAACGATCGAACGGCGAACAGCCAAACAAAAAGAGACAGCAGCAGGACAGAGTGAACTTTAAACCAAGTCAGTTAGGCAGACATTCCTCAAGGAATTGTAATGAGAACGCCAAGGCGGCGGCAGCAGATTGTTTTCAACCTTGCAACCATGAAGTTGTTAACTTTTCAAAAATGGAGAGTCTGTGGAGTTTTTAACAAATTGTTACTGCCTCATATACCTTTGATAATTTATATTTATTTATTTTTTTTTTGATTAATTAATATATTTTCGTTTTCTATTTTAGCAATCGGAAATCATGAATTTAATGGAACAAATGGTGGATCCAAAAATGGTAAGTAGAGATTTGATATTCCTTGTTTTTTTGTCAGTATTTTTTTAATTGCATTTATTTTCTTCTTGTTGTCAATTTCTTAGAATTACAATTCCATACCGGTTTGTGAGGAACATGATAACGGTGGCTATGATTTTCGCATTCAGGTTAATACCACCGAAAATACGTCGCGTTATGTTATCTTCTCGCAGGATTCACAGCGTCTGTATGTGAAGCCACATGAAAATGTCACCATCGATTGTTTTTATAAAGTTAAAATGCCCATACAGCCGTTGAATGTTCGCATTACACCGATTTATTCTACCGATACCAGTGATCCCGTGCGTCGATGTCAAAATCATATTAGCAAAGATAATGGTGAGTATAATTATAAAACAATCATATGTATCCTCCACCCACCACAATAGACATTGAAAAATAATCTTTAACAAATCCCTGCATTTTATTGACCTTGATAAAATATTCTTTAAGAAATCCACGTATTTAATAGTCGTTGAGGTCGTCGGAGTTATAAACAGGTTTAATTATTACTTTTATATAAGTTATATGATTAATTAAAGATGTTTCGGATTTTATGTTCATCAAATATATAATATATTAACCCATTTTGTAGGATGACCCAGAGGAGAGGATAGACGGTTCCCACCTTCGGACTTGATCTAGGCTTGGTGAAGATCATAGGTTGTGCAAAGTTTGGTTCAAATCCGACATTCCATTCGCCTAATATTGGACTCATAAATATTAAAAATGTTGACCCTTTGTTCGGGACGTACAAGAAGGGGTGGAGTCCCATCTTCAAACTTGGTTAATACCGTATGTTGTGCAAAATTGTGTTGAAATCGGACATTCCAATTTTCTGATATAGGATTTATAAATATTGTACAATTTTTTGTTAAACTCGGATAGTCAGTTTGCGTTTAATTATAAAATTAATTTTAGCAAAATTTTGACCATTTTGTGAGGGAGGTTCCAGAAATAGTGGACAGATGGGTCTTATCTTCAAACTTGATCTAGGCTTGGTAAAGGTAACAGGTTGTGCAAAGTTTGCTTCAAATCGGAAATTCCATTAGGCTGACAATGGGTTTATAAATATTGAACATTTTGACTCTCTGAGGGGGAGGTAACAGAAGCAGTGGACCAATATGTCCCATCTTCATACTTAATCTAGGCTTGGTAAAGATAATAGGTTGTACAAAGTTTCCTTAAAATCGAATAGACCGTTTGCATGTTATTATAAAATTAATTTTAAGCATAATTTTGACCATTTTGTGGGAGAGGTACCAGAATAAGTAGGCCGATATTCCCCATCTTCGAACTTAAATTAAGTTTGGAAGAAAAATTAAAATGTACAAAGTTTGGATGAAATCGATAATTCCCTTCGAGGTTTATCGTGCGCATCAGCCAGCCAGACAGACGGACGGATGGACATTTGTAAATCGACTCCAAATTTTCTGAAACGGATTTGGTCCAAAGAAAAATTAGCCATAAGGCTGAAGGTATTAAAACACACCCCATTAATAGACCTTTAAAAATATTCTTTAAAAAATCCACGCCTTTAATAAACCTTTAAAAATCCCCGTCTTTAATAGACCTTTAAAAAATCCACGCTTTTAACATACATTGAAAAAATATTCTTTAAAAAATCCACGCTTTTAACATACATTGAAAAAATATTCTTTAAAAATCCACGCCTTTAATAGACCATGAAAAAATAATCTTTAAAAAATTCACGCCTTTAATAGACCTTTAAAAAATAATCTTTAAAAAATCCACGCCTTGAAGAACCCTTAAAAAATCTTTAAAAAATTCACGCCTTTAATAGACCATGAAAAATTATCTTTATCAAATTTAATGGGTTTTGTTTCTTTTTTTCAGAACCCAATGAACTAATCCGCAACAGTTTGTTGCGTTGTGAAAATCTTGGTGCCGTCTATCATGGCAGCGATACGGGTAAAAGTATTCGAGATCGTTATTCCGTTGTGGTCCCGCTAAATGCGGCCGTCAAAGCCGGTGACAATGGCATTCATTTGAAACAACAGCTTATAATACATTTCACATGCAATAATTCTTGTATGAATCGGAAGCCAACGTCAGTGCTATTTTTATTGGAAACAAATAGGTAAGTACATGTTTGATTTCGAATTGTGAAATAGTTTATTCATATTGTTTTTTGTTTCTTTTTATAATTTTAGTGGTGACATTTTGGCTCAACGTCTACTGACAGTGAAAATATCAACATGTCCAAAACGTGATCAAAAATTATATGAAAGGCCATCGGGAAGTAAAAGGAGACCAGTTGGAGGTAAGATTAAAAGATAAAACAGTCATCGGTCCATAATTTATAATTTTAATTGCAATGATTTTTTAATTTATTTTTTAGACCCTGATTTTAGTACAACTGAACGGAAAATACCAAAATATGATGATACTTGTGTTAAAGATGAATTTAGTCGCAGCAGTTATGGTGATCCAAGTGATGATGATACCAATGGTGGTGGTAACAACATGACAAATGGTGCTGATTGTGGTGAAAGTAATGTCGATGTTGTTTTAGATCATAAAACCGGTGAATATAAATTAACACTGAAATATAAAACTCGCCATCAAATGTTAGAAGTGTTGCGGCTACTCTATTCAAATGCCGTAAGCAATGAAGTATTCTATAAGACGGCCGTTAATGGTAAACGGACACGGGATACGGAACATTTAAAACGATGTTACGGTGAGTTGAGATATTTTGTATTTATACCTTTCACCACACCGTGTACAGAGTATAATGTTTTTGTGCATATGTTGGTGGTTACTTTTGAGAATATGCCGTCCTTTGGTCTGTCTCTTGTTAAATTGTAATTGTAAGTACAGGTCGCATTTATGATCCGAATTATATAAGATTTGGCAAGACTACTTATTTGGCCCAAGGACAAGCCCTATTGAAATTAGAGAAAATCGGTGCAGATTTAGTTATAATTATTATTATAAGTCGCAGTGGTTGGCCAATTGAGACAACATTTTGTTACAACAAAAAATATTCTTTTGTTACAACAAAAAATATTCTGTACAACAAAATATCTGAAATTAATTCAAATTCTGTTGAATAAGGTATCAAAAGTCCGAAAAGTATACCAATATTGATACTTTTTGGTAAGGAGATTTGCTGCACAATTGATGCCCCCGGAAAGCTCTCACTGCGGAGGGAATTTAGTTAAAAAAGGCAATGGTGTAGAAGTCCACTGGAGAAAAAACATGAGTCAGATGCAGATGACAAGGAATCAGCAAAGGAAGCATTTCAAGCAATTGTCTTAGGAAAAAAATAATAAAAATTTTGGGTGAAGAGCTCAAGAGTTATTCGAGATTTTCTGTTCCACAAAGTGAACAGTTTTTTTTATTATTTAACAAAAAATGGAAAAGGAGTTAGATTTTTCCATAGAGTCTTTGGAAAAAAAAACTTGATGAGAAGGAGAGAACGAGAATGTACATCGATATACAATCTAGCCGATTATATGTTATTAGCCGATGCGATGACATGAAAATTAATTCCCTAGGATTTCAATAAAGAAAGCCCTAACCGAAATGGAATATTTGAAGGCATAATGTATGGAAATCAGAAAGTTGATTTGAAAAGTTTCAAATGTGGATTTTCTGAAGATATGTTCTTCAAATTAATCGTACGACGGACATATATTATGATGTACGGGAGGAGCTGTATAATAAGCTGGAATCTTCCAATGATATTTCGGTGCCCCCGACAGGCTCTCACAGTGGAGCAAATTTATTTATAAACATCTATGATGGAGACAGTCCACTGGTGCTGGTTAAAGTTCAGTGGTAGGAAGACCACTGGAGGAAACACAGGAAAAAGAACCAGAATTCTACGTAAAGCAGAGACAAGAAGAACACCAGCAGTTTAGCGAGGCAGAATCTATGGACCAGCTTAAGAAAAAGGAAGATGACCGAATGGATCGTAAAAAAAACCGAAACAAGTATTGGATATCCTGAATGAAGATGAAAATGATGATATTTTCGCCATGGATGTGGAAGACAAGGATGAAGTGACGTTTGGGTGAAAATGCAATGCAGTTCACTAATCCGTGATGTTAAATTACATTGTGGTAAATTTAATCACTTCTTCAAATTTAGAAAAACAGAAGAAGAACGCCTATTAGAAGTCGATGATGAAAGCAGTAGATGAAGGTGGAGGAAATTCTAATGGAGGCTCTATAAAAAATGAGCTGCGGCTGTCTGCTTATTTTAGACTTGGAATTACCACCAATTCAGTTGTTGGGACATGTATATAGTGAGATGAAATATGTGACATAGACATTGATGGTCTGTTAAAATAGAAACAAGTTCATAGGTCAAATTTAAATCAATTAGGTTGTAAAAATGGACTGAGATCTTCAATATGCAAGCTATACCAAACCGTGGGCACATATAACATACTTTTCCGCCTTGAGATTTTGTATCCTTATAATGAAATGCCTAATAATAACATCGGTTGGACGTCTATATGGGGACCGAAGATACGAAGATCCTTAACACTTTGAAAATTTTCGAAAAGTTGCGTAGAGTAGATATAAGATAGTCTAGGAGTATTAGCCCCCGGGCCCTATGTCGCTTCAAGTGGCCTCTATATTTCGACCCATACATTTTTTTATTGTTTCATTTTTTATTTAGAACGTTTCTAAAAAAATTTTTTATTTTCCTTTTTCAGAGAAAACACTACGCCTTAAACTGGACTAGCAAAATCTAGCGGTAATTTTCCAGCCAAAAAAATCTTTTTATTTGTATTTTTAAGATATTACTATAAGTTTGTTTTTTTGTTTAAGTATAGAATTGTAATTCACACAACCCCTCACCAAACCATAATATTTACTATTACAATTTCATTGTGTAATGGTAAATTATTAAAAATCATAATTTTATGTTTCATTTCATTATTCTTACTTACTTACTTCATTCCATTTCTTCCATTAAACTTGCAGTTATATCTTCAACAAAAATATTACTGTTTAAGTTTTAAAAATTAAATTTTGTCCAAATTGAAACTAAGTTGTCTATTTTATATTTTGTTTTCTTTCTTATTTAAATGAATTGTTATTTTTTGTACTGTACAAACTATATTTGTGTCAAAATGTTTTCTTCAGTTGCCTTTGAATTGTTCATTAATGTCTTTTGTATAATCTCAAAAAGAGAAAAAGGCGCCTTAACGTATCTACTTATTGATATTTTGTACCTATCAAATTGTAAAAGTAGTTTATGAATTCAAGATTTTTATATATATGAAAAAAAAACCAAAAACAAAACGTTTAATAAAATGTGTGCCTTTTTGTAACAAAAAGGCAAATGACAAAACATCAAATTTTAATTTTCTATTTATTAAAATATAAACTATCTATTATTTAAAAATAAATTTAAAACTGTACATATGTATTATAAAATGCTGATTTCACACATGTTTTTTTAGCATTTAAATATAATATATTTTCACAGTATCTAGTAGTAGGACAATGAACCTCCTATAATGTCATTAAACCTAAAATGTCAACATGTGTTCGGTAATTATAAATACAAACTTGCATTTAAGTTTTCTTAAACCACCACAAATCAAAAGTGTCTAGGAAAAAGTATGTAATTTAGCAACAACCCAGCGCATGCGTGTCTGCTAAATATGAAATATTGCAATCTGCTGCAATGTCTTGTGGTGTATGTTGCACGCGCTACATTGGCAATTGCATAGATAAATCTATGCTAAAAATCTCCAGATGTTTTTTTCACTTTTGCATTTCTGTCTATATTTGTTCAAATTTAGTGTGCGTTTAATTTGCTACATCTGTTGAACATTTGTTTAGTGACACTTAGAGAGGCGTGGTGGAAAAGTTTCAACAACCGAAGCTTTCGCTTTTGGGTATTTTCATTTTATTTCAACTATTCAAATATTATAAAAAAGTGCGTTTAAATTTGATTTTCACACCCTTTACCACAAGGTGGAGATAATAATTGATTTAAAAAAAAGTAAAAAATGTATTTTCTTTAACAAAGACCAATTATCAATAGGCGTGGGTTTTCTGGGGTAGCTACTTTCATCACCTGTTGAAATTGTGAGCTGATATGTCTTGCCAGTTCACCCATAAGAATTATAAAAAAGACCGCTATATTTTACGCGCCTGGCCATGACATTAAAATTCCGCTAGGAGATTTTAATGCAAGAATCGGAAAATTCAGCCTTCTTGAAGAACGAGTAAAACACCAAACCAAAGAGATAAAAAAGAAAACCTGGTGACAGATACAGACAGCATGTTGAGGATCTGGAAGGAGCTTTTTGAAAAGCTTCTGGTATCAAATAGTGGCGGTGAAGAATATACCCCAGAACCAATAAGAGATGACGGTATAGAGAGTATTCACCTAGCCAAGATTAATCGGCTGAAGAACAATACAGCAGCAGGAGCCGATGGGTTACCAGCCGAACTATTCAAGAGATGCTGGTCAGGAGCATGCACCAGCTGATTAGTACAGTTTGGCTAGAGGAATGCATGCCCAATAATTGGAAACTCAGTATGATGTGTGCCATGCACAAAAAAGAAGACAAGACGATATGTGCCAACTATAGAATTAGTATTCTTTCCATCGCATATAAAGTGCTATCCAGTGTGTTGTGTCAATGACATTATTGGTCCATACCAGTGCGGCTTGAGACCTGGCAAATCCGCCATTGACCAGATTTTCACTCTTCCCCCGAAAACCACATCGACACATGCCACCTATTTGCCAACTATAAATCCGCATTCGACAGCCCTATCCGTTCAGAGGTGTTTAAAGCCATGTCTGCGTTCGACATTCCTGCTAAATTAATACGACTATGCAGGATAACATTAAATGGCACAAGGTCAGCAGTTAACGTCGGAAAGGACATATCGGAGCCCTTCAATACCGAACGAGGATTCAGACAAGGTGACAGTTTGTCGTGAGATTTTTTTAACATCCTGCTGGAAAAGGTCATACGAGACGTAAAGGTGAACAGAAATGGCACTCTGTACACCAAACAACACATGTTACTCGTCTACGGCATCGATATAATGGGTCGAACATTACCAGCGGTAACAGCCACCTTTGCACAAATTGAAAAGGACTGATGATGACCAACAGATGCTACTATAGTCTATGTAAGGAGTTTAGAAACAAGGCCACCTCCCGCCAGACCAAACTCACACTTTACAAGACGCTGATACTACCCGTTCTGTTATATGGATCTTGCGGTGTTTGAGAGACAAATTCTCCGAAAGATCTACGTGCCGATTTGCGTCGACGGTAAATATCGGCGTCCAATGTACCACACATCAGTCGTATTGGTGGATAAGGTCACGTTGTGCGAATGAATGAGAATGCCCGACGCGCTTGAAAATCTTTTTTAAGCTTGGCTTATGGAACAACCGTTCGGTAACAAGCCAGCTAAGTAAGCGGATTAAAAAAAAATTATCAATAGGCGTGGATTTAAAAAATATATATTTTTTATTTTTAAATTTGTTGTTGAATATCTCACATCCCAAAAAAGTCCATATAAAAACAAAACATACAAGATCAAGATCCCGTAATACAATTTGTAAACAAAAGCAGATCGCATGCGACGATGTCAGATTAGGGGGAAGCGGGTTATTTTCAAAAACATAATACACATTTAAAATAACAATTGTTTACTACATCGTAATTAACTCTCATATTCCAAACAACAATATAACAACAAAAAACATGCATAAAATAATGAAAAGAATTGTTAAGTCACGAGATCATTTGACAACTTTGTTAAGCGTTTTGGCGGAAGGTGAGTTGTGAACCTTACGTTGTTGTTACTTGCATTTTCTCATCCACTTGGCATCGCGGAAAAAAGTCATCGCATTTTTTTAACTCAAAATTTACAATTTCTCACCTGACAAACTTGAGTGAAATATTTGACTTAGAAATTCGCTCATCAAACCAACCTCTGAGCCTTGGCGTTGGGCAATTGCCAATGGAATTTGAGATGCAAGGCACGTTCGTGAAACATTGTTCAAGAAATTAAAAAAAAATAAAAACTATTTTTTTGTAAAGCACAAATGAAAAGCAAGTTAAAAAGTTAACACACTGAAGACACGGAAGAAGAAGCAGATAAAGAAGAACAAGTCAATGCGTAACTGAAAACTCTCAATAAGGCAACAAGTGTCAGTTTTCAGCCAGCCAGAGTTGTGTGGGTTTCCGGTGATTACGTGTAGCCATCCAGACTACTGTTGGGTTTTATTGAACTCGACTGCCTATTATCAATAAATAGGAAACCCTATAACAAGTGTTTGCTTTCCAATCGGCTATCACCACACTCCACGTTGTCTAGGCCATACATGGTCACTTGGCCTAAAGTGATTTTAGTGAAGTAAGAAACTGACCATTGCTGGTAATATGCATATTAATGTTCTTATGTGTGTAAGGCGGAGTTCAATAGGCAGCAATGCACTTCGAAGAATTGAAAAAAAAAACAAAAATAAGTTTAAGCAAGCAGTATAAGTTAATCTGCTATTTATATAAAGCCGAAGGGTTGTTTAAAAAATATATTTAAAAGAATCCAAGCTAAGAGTGAATTGAACTTACAAAAATTTCTTTAACAAATCCACGCCTTAAATATAGACCTTGAAAAAATATTATTTAAAAAATCCACGCCTTAAATATAGACCTTGAAAAAATATTATTTAAAAAATCCACGCCTTAAATATAGACCTTGAAAAAATATTATTTAAAAAATCCACGCCTTAAATATAGACCTTGAAAAAATATTCATTAAAAAATCCACGCCTCATACAGACCTTGAAAAAATATTCATTAAAAAATCCGCGCCTCATATAGACCTTGACAAAATATTCTTTAAAAAATCCACGCCTCATATAGACCATGAAAAAATATTTATTACAAAATCCACGCCTTAAATACAGACCTTGAAAAAATATTCTTTAAACAATCCACGCCTCATATAGACCTTGAAAAAATATTCTTTAAACAATCCACGCCTCATATGGTCCTTGAAAAAATATTCTTTAAACAATCCACGCCTGTGTGGGTCTTTGAAAAAATATTTTTTAAACAATCCACGCCTCATATAGACCTTGAAAAAATATTCTTTAAACAATCCACGCCTCATATAGACCTTGAAAAATATTCTTTAAACAATCCACGCCTCATATAGACCTTGAAAAAATATTCTTTAAACAATCCACGCCTCATATAGACCTTGAAAAAATATTCTTTAAACAATCCACGCCTCATATAGACCTTGACAAAATATTCTTTAAAAATCCACGCCTTAAATGTAGACCTTGAAAAATATTCTTTAAAATATCCATATCCGATCTGGACAATTTTTCAAGAATTGTCCCATATCTTATAGAAATTAGTGTCATCTAAACAATATATAAAAATTATTTATGTTGATTGAATTAGCGTTGTCATACGCTATTCGTTTAACTCGTTAATCCAATAGCCTACAATATGCAGAGGTAGGAAGAGGCAAAAAATACAGAGTTGTCCAAGATATAAAGTTATAAAAAAATTAAATAAAAAATAAATACTTGATATCTTGATTGTAATTACTAAAAATATCTGGGTATAACTTCTCTTACGATTAACTTCGTGAATGATGATTGCCCACCTCTGTGATTTTCACAGTGCATTAGTTATTATTGACACAATGAGAAACAAAAACGAAATCTTTTGTTGTAAATCTT